GCATTCCTGGCTCCCATTATTTCCAATGGGTCTTCCAGCGTCTCCCATTGTTTCCAATGGGCAATCCTGTCCTTCCTTTTAGTACATCCCAATAATAACCCCTGATCATGTGTTTACCAGCTGCTGAGGAATAATGCCCACAGGAAAGGTGCATTTATCTTAACAGCAGGGGTCATTTCCTGCAGGAGTGCACAGGAGCAGAGCTCTAGCAGTAAAGAACCCAGGGGGCAGGCACATGCAACAAGCCCCACCCCCTGCTTCCAGCAGCCCTCAATCAGAGCAAGAAGCAGCCAGGTAAGTTGCGGAGCTCCCCCCACCCCCCGCCGGTCCAAAACAGTCCAGTGGTACCATTAAGACCAAGTTTTATTCAGGTACAAGCTCTTCCTCCTCTGCGAGGACAGATCTGCACATTCTCTCCCCCCCCATAGCTAGCAATCCAAAACAGTCCAGTGGAGCCTGAGCGGTGGGTGTTGCCTTCTGACACACTTCTGGTGATGTCGGGGTGTGGCATATGCTAATAAGTTATGCTAATTAGCTCCTGCACCTCTTTTTCTGCGAAATGACCCCTGAATGGGGCACTAGAGACTGGTGCTTCCTGTGGGCTGGAGATCAGTTGTAATTCTGAGAAGACTCCAAACCTCACAGTGTGGTTTTGACTGTTTGCCCAAGATAATGTCTGTATATTATCTTTAAATTCTAACACAGTTATTATCTAGTATATTTTTATAGTCAACTATTTGACCTCATAACACGATAATCTGCAGTGAGTTACCACTTACAATGCTGAATATAAAACATACTAAATGGGAGTTACTGGAGCATCCTGTTCTTGTACTGCAAACAATGTGAGATCCAACTCAGAACATCTTAAAATCCGAGTAGTCCTCCATGACTGTATAGTATAGGAGTCTCAGCTTCACTAGATGGTGATATATCCATGGCAAAAGAACTGTGGACAACTCTCTGGTTCCAGATCACTGGTATCATGATCCACTGAATTACCTCATCGAGCATGTAACTTGAAATAATTCCTCTGCTGTGATATATATGTGGGTGTGTATACCTTGAAGTCAGCCCTCGCAAACTAATTTATTTCTGTTTCCCCCTCAAAGCCAGTCTGGAGAGGGCTTCACTTAAGTCTCCTTCTGTATGTGTATTGGTTGCAGTTTCCAGTGTGTAAGCGTTCTCCTAGTAGGAAGCAATAAAACTGTTGCTGAAGCTCCCAGCGTCTCCTGTGTGCTGCTATCTGGATAGGTAAGCTTACTCCTGCCCACCATGACTCAGAGGATGCTACATTTGGTGACTCCCAGTGGTTCCTATGGCAGCCAGGAAGTCCTACACTAAATCAAAGAAGTGTCCCTGGCATGTATGTTATAGTCTCCCAGGGCTAGCTGCTAAAGATACCTTAACACCAGGTCCATTTTTCCCACCTTGGCCATTCAATGGGGACAGAATCCCTAATCTGTTAAGGTTCCCTATAAATATTCAAAACTGGGACTCCACTGTCCTGCGGACCCAGGGTTGCAGGCAGAGCACAGCAGGAGTACCAGTCCAGAGTCCAGTCCAGAGGTCATGTACCAATTCAGCTGCAGACAGAATTTGGGGTTGTCCAGAAAGGCAGAGTCAAGGCAGTCCAAGGTCATTGAGCAGTAAGGTACAGGCAGGTCCAAAAAGCAGGGTTAGAGTCAATCCGAGGGTCGCAAGGTGCAAGGCAGAGTCTGGTGTTGTGGTCGCAAAGTTCGCAGGTATGTGACATGTTGCTTCAACAATCTACAGGCCTCCTGGTCTGCTTTAAAGAGGGGCTTCTTTTTTATTAATATTTTTTATTTTTAAAGACATAACAAACATACATGGGGGGAATTTCAATTTCTATTCAATTAATTTCTTTAACAAACTCATGCCTAAATTATCATACATTTATGTATTTCACCTTATATCATTAAGATTAACACTTGCAAATATATCAAGTTTATATTTTATATGTAATGCTTTAAGCTTTATTTGTGGGTTTTTTCCTTGCCAAATAAATTGTATCATCAATTTGTCAAGTTCCTTAAAATATTTTTGATTTTGAATAATAAGTATTGTTTGAAATAAAAAGAGCAATCTTGGTAATATATGTATCTTACCAATTCTTCCCATTAAAGATATTTCAAGGTTTTTCCATTTTTCTAAGTCATTCTTAATTTTCTTCATCGGTTCCATATAGTTGTTTTCCATCAAAGAACTACATCTATTTGTTATGTTTATTCCTAAATATTTAATCTTCTTTTGGATTTCTAAACCTGCTAATTCTTGCAGCTGGTGAGCTTGAGGTTTAGTAATGTTTTTTAATAAGCATTTTTGTTTTTTGTTTTTTTACAATTAATTTTAAGTCCTGCCACCTCTCCATAATCTTGCAGGGAAGTTATCAGTTGTTTTATAAAGCTTGATGGATACTCCAAAATGAATACTAAATGATCTCTGAATGCTAAAATCTTATATTCTTCTCCACTTGGTCTAAGACCTCTAATTTGTGCATCTGCTCTAATCACATCATTTAAAACATCAAGAGCAAAGATAAACAGTAAAGGTGAGAGGGGGCATCCTTGTCTAGTTCCTTTATATATCTCAATATTTCATGATAAATCTCCATTGATAAGAATCTTAGCTTGTTGTTTAGTGTAGGAGTATACCGCATACCATGCAGTTGTGGACAAGTTTACATCGGGACCACACAGCGTAGCATTCAGACAACAATAAAAGAACATGAAAGACACTGCAGACTTCGCCAACCTGAAAAATCAGCAGTGGCTGAACATAGCCTAACTCAAACAGGACACAGTATTTTGTTCCAAGACACTGAAAGGCTGGACAACACTTTCAATTACCATGTCAGATTACACAGGGAAGCCATTGAAATTCATAACTATAAACACAATTTCAACAGGAAAGAAGAGAGTTTAAAAATAAATAGGGCATGGTTTCCTGTCCTGAAAAACACAAAAGGCTCTACATCTGACAATAGCACTACAGATAATATTAGAATTTCAGCAGCTAATCCATATACAAAAGAACCTCCTCAGGAAAGCTCCTCCATTAGCATGTTTATAGCCTGGGGAACTCCTACAAGATAATGACTCAGCCCTACCCCACCTTCCTGAGTAGATATAAATTACCTGCCTACCATTTTTCTTCTCACTTTGACACAGAGAGTACTCCATCTTTCTGTGTTATACCTCTGAGGATGCCAATTACAGCTACTGGTGAAATTCTACAATGCCAAGACCACGGCCATACAACCCGGAAAATCTACAACAACTAATAATTATATTTGTTTAATTTATGTATTTTATTTGTTTATTTTAATATTTTGTATTTAATTATATATATTTAATTATGTTATA